TCCTTCAAAAAGTCCAAAGTATTTGCTGACGACGCCGAACATAATTTGATTTTTGGGTATTTCAGGTTTTAGTTTAATAATTGTTTAAAATACTTAATTGATCAGATCTTGCTTAGAATACAAATAGAATACTGTATTCAAAAATTGTTCAATAGTAAATTTTTGTAAACAGTTTAATATAATGCATCAATTTTGTTTCTCAAAATTTTTATATTAGAAGTGGTAAAAATTTTTCATAATAGCTTTTCATCAGCTTAGATATAGGGTTCAAAGTTCAAATCAAAATTGGAATGATTTGTTTGATGTATTGGTAAAAGGTGCCATTTCTTTTCTTTTCCAGTTTCATTCATTTAAAAGAAAATGGACTAATAAATTTGGAAGGATGATTAATCTACAATATCACTGTGATTTAAGCTTAAATTGGAATTTAAATCTTTGAAACAATTCAAATTTTAATGAAATACGATGTGAAATCCCTTTTGAATATTTAATGAATTTAATTAAAAAATTATCATCAATTTGGCAAATTGACATTTACTTTGATTTTTTAATAAATATTTTGGCGTGAAATTCATTTTTGGATCTTTCTGCTAAAATTTACATCCGCAATTTTTTTTCGTTTCAGAAAGAATTTATCATACCAGAATTGAAATTCCAGTTCAATCAGAATAAAAATTAAATGTTGTGATAATTTCAGGTGGTATGTACTCATGTTACTCATTATATTTGTAGTATTCTTACTTTTAATTCTTGTTATTGCTTGCTACTATGACTCCCAAAACCGCCGTGGTGCCCTACCAGGTGGCAAACGAAGCAATAGAGGAGATTTGCCACGGGTAGATCAAACTGCTGCAGTTGATCCACTAATAATTCAAAACCAGAAAACTGAAGAAGTTCGTAAAATTATAATTAAACTGTACTATATTACTTCCAGCACGAAAAAATTATTAAAGAAGAAAAGTCAATAACTCTTAATTTGTTGACTTAAAATTATGTATTTCAATCATTCACTTGAATATATTCTTAAGCCATTCAAAGAAATCATACCAAAATCGATCCTATTTTATACAAAACCGAAAGTATTCAAAAATTCTGTCACTGCTTAACTAATTTATACAAAATTATCAGTAATTATATTTCAACTTTAGCGCTAATTATTAATTGTTTTGTCTGGATTTATATGTTTTTTAAATAAATACTTTAAATACATGATTTAATTACTATTTTTTGAATACATTTTTTAAATTTTGTCAGAAAAGAGAAAATCTATTCCAAGAAATTCACATTACGCATAAATCTGCAGAAAATTACTTAATTTTTATTGTAATTTTGACTGTAATTTATTTATAAATATTTTTATTTGATTTTAGTATTTGATATTGACTTTCAGTAAGAATGAATTTCAATAAAAGAAAATTAAATATTTTGAAACTTTTTATTTAATAAATTGATAAGTTAAATTGAACAGATCAGCGATACTATTTATCTGTTGTTTAACTACTTTTACGAATTTTGTATCTTTACTTTAAAAAGTCAATTATGCTAATTTTGCCAGTATTATTTACAGCCAAATCAGCAAGCATTAGATTCCCGTACTTTATGCAAACGAAAGATGTTAATCGATGCTCAACGTTCTGGATCATCGAAATCACGGACATACAAGGGTTTCATTCCAGAATCAATCAATTTTCTAGATTTCATTAAAATTTCCCAATTAAATTTAAAAGATGAAAATTTTTTGTCCTATTTTGACTATCTTTTTATTTCAAATTTTATTCAAATGCTAAAAATGGTTTAAAATTTTCATCAAGTCATCAATTTGATAGAAAATATTACATAGTAACTCGATAACTTTGCAAACTGATAAGTTACTAAAAAATCAATCAATGATATTGATAAGTGATAGACAAAAATTTTTAGGCTTAAACTAATAAGTTTTTATTAAATATGCGCATTCCTTTGTATACATTTATTATTACAAAATACTTCCGAAGCAAAAGCAAAAGAATTGCAATTTATTTATAAAAAAGTGGAAAAATTACGTTTTGAAAAATTTGCAAGTTTTTTCAATAATTACTTTCAAAAAATTTTAATTTTCGGAATTTTTTCAAAGAATTCAGCAAATCAATAATAATTTGCTGATTTTTTAAACATTTGTTTTTATATAGATTTAAGACAAATTATTATTATCATTACCATTGTTAATATCATTATTATCTATTATTAATAATAATTATTATTACCATTGTTATTAGTATCACTAATTTTGGCACAACGAAAATAGGTATAAACAAAAAACTAAAACTACGATCAAATTTTAGTATTTTGAACTACAGTGAGCAAAAGATTTTTTCTAAAATAAATATTTTTCAATAAATTAATTTTGCAAACAATGAAAATGTTAGAATAGTCAATTTCTTGAAAATGCTTCACTAATTTAGTTATTTATTTAATTCATTCAAATATTTCAATGTTATTATTAGACAGCAATTATGATTCTGCCGAAAACGATAAGGATTATTCAGATGAGATTCGAGATAGTAATAAAGTAATGAGTGTTTACTTTTTAATTTCTTTTTATGGATTATTTTATGCGCTTTAATTTTAATATTCAAAAGTTGAATACGTTAGATTCAATTACAGTGCTGACTGTTTATGCATTCCTTGTAGTACTGTAAACTCTTTTTGTTTATTTTATTTTCATATACAAATAGAAACTGAATTTTTACGTTTCGATAAAAAAGTTAAGCAAAAAAGTTAATTTTTAACTTTCAGCCTTTTTTAATCAATTTTTTTAAACTTTTGTGTATTTTTTAATTACCAATCTAGCCGCAAAAGAAAAATAACGGTTGGTAACAAAATTGAAAAATAAAAGGTTGAAATGTTATTTCGCATATTACAGTAATATAGCCATCATAAAATATCAATTTCATATAATTTTACAATTTTTTACCATCTGACTAATATCGATGAAACCAAGTTTTGGATCTTCATTGTTTTTTAGCAACGAAAAACTTTGTGATCATTATTGATTATATTTAGCCACCTAAGAAAAATCAATCGGAGACCCATGAGGATCAAAGTGATCAGTCGGAATCATCAAAATTAACGGACTTCAAAACGTAGGCATTATCATATTAATAATAATTCTAATAGTTTTATTAGAAATTATCCTCTTAAAAAGAAGCTTTTACTTTTATTCTGTGAAACTACACTAAAATTTGTAAAAATTTTGCAAGATTATTGTTTGTTTTTATTTTCACAAAGCACAAAGTTGGGAGTATTTGCAAGTGTTTTGCAATGCAATGATTTTTGTAATATTGATTTTTCATAAATTATTACTTTTGGATATAATTAATTGTTGTAATCAATTTTTTGACTTTCAGCGCTGCTAAAAGTGCTACCGGTAAAGGAAACAAAGGTGAAGAATCAGACGATTATTCATCACCAAAATTATCAGGTTCAAAATCGAGTTCTGGAAGCAGTCA